TTGAAACAATTGAAAGTAATCAAAAACTACGAAGGAGAAACTATCCATCCGTTTTGATAAAGATTTGTTCAATCATTCAAACGATCAGCAAAGTTAGTAACACCGGAAAAATCAAGGCATAGCATGTCTCAAAGTAGAAAAAAAATTGTTTATAATGTACATGTGAAAATGTTTTGCTTCGCGATTTGAATACATAAATATTTCGACGACATTCTCACTGAAAGCAATTCAATTTCTCCAATGTGATGATATTAAGAATAAAAGCCCATTTTTTCGTACTGTTCCATGCAGTTCGCATCAGAGCGCACAAAATGAACAATAAAAAAAATTGTTCTTTGGCTTTTTCAACATATCTCGAGTTAAATATCCAATGCTTGCTTTTTATATATATTTATAGAAAAGTTTTTTACTGTCTTCAGATTGATCGTAAGTATTAGCAATGAAGAGTTTGGCATCAGAAAAGGTTAGAATGATATAAGTCAGGTAAGAAAAAATTAAAATATTACAAAGTATTTGAATTAATATTAACATTTAAACATTTGAATTCTTGCAAAGTAAAAGTACAGATCTAAAAATTAATCACATTATATTTGACTACGATTTTTGTTTTTTTTTATAAATCCACTCGGGAATACAAACTAGAACTATCCACATTATTTTCGTTACTAGTTCCAATATCTGGTTTTAGTAGGGTTGAGTACACGGCATACGTATGACAGCTTGAACCTTAAACCAATTTTTACATAGGATGTTCTTTTTAATTAACCAGCGAGAACGAAAACATGCCAAATGGCATGAGCAAATGGTATAATTCCATCCATTTTGAAAAAAATAACTCCAGCCAAGTAGATGATACCTCCGAAGAGCATGATATCCAATCCGCTTTGATCTTTCTGGAACATTTCAGTTGAATCAAAAAAGGATAAATGAAAACCATGTTGAAAATAGCAATCGAAGGTCCTGCAGCAATAGTTATATATATAACTATTTCCAAAGTTTTATAACTTAAATTTCAAATTTTCTTGACTAGACGAAGTTAAAATACCGCTCATGAAAATTATATTGATACAGAATTCCTAAAAGGGCGAAAACCCAAACAAGGTACTTCATATTTAGACCGTAACAATCATACTCCCTGAATCTTCTGCTCATAAGATGACAAGCATGAAAAATTTACCTGAGGAAAAGCCATGGTGTATATGAAGCTGCAATGAACAGATAAATAGCAGCTCTATCACAAATGTGCAAATAAAATCTCAGCGTTGGTTGCCTGTCAAGTATAAATTAGTTCAGATCAGGGACTTGTGAAATACTTACTCTCTTTTCTCTCTGTAACAAAGTTCACAGAAGTGATAACAGGTAGACGAACAGAAAAGTAAAGTTGTGAATATCCCATAAACAAGCATTAAATAAAATTGCATAGAATTGTGAGTAGAAGTTATCATATGAGAGAATATAAGAATGGAAGGCAGTACTCCTATCTAAAATAATGATGAATTGAATATTAATGAAGGTTACTGGTACAGCATGTGAAAGGGTGTTAGCATAGTGCTCGTGATGAGTTGGCTCATACGCTTCTCCTTTGGCAGCTCTCTTGTTTTTGAACGTATAAGGGCTAAATTAAAGATAACATTCGAAATTTTTTTTTGCATACTTCACGATTCCACAACTGCCACTCATTAGGACGAAAATCTGGATCCGCGAACCCCTACACTTCGAGGAAAGTTTTGCCTAAACCAGCAGTATAATAGATAAACAGCGATTTCCTGGATAACATGAGAAGAAGGAGCATGATAGAGTAAAATAGACTTGTTAGATATAGAAAAGTATTTTCATGATAGAGAACGTGATACAATAAAAATGAAAACATTATTGGAATAAAATTAAAATTCAGTAGGAAGAAGTTCCTCGATTTTGAATACCATAATGAGTTTTAAAATGTTTGGTTTACTCCCACATTTCTTCATTAATTTTGCGTTCTGCCGAAAATAACTTTCTGTCCGTCGGAATTAGTCATTTTTTCCTGAACAAGCATTCTACAAACTACAATGCGAAGAAAAGTTCTCTTGTTCTCTCACCCATTCATTTCAACACTCCTCCTACGTCCTTGTGAGATGTTCCTGTGGCATTTATTTTTACTTTAATTTCTCAGGAGGAACCTGGCTGACTGTTCCGTAATGTTCGAAATGCTGAGGTAATTTTATGATGAAGCGAGCATGAAAATGAGTGTATGATTAGTTGAAAAAAATATATTTGTTTCCAGAATTAGTGGCTTAGGAGTACAACACAACACACCATTAGTTTTACATAAAGCGAACACTCAGAACACCAGGAGCACCTAATGAGGACATTAACAGGTGAAACTTAAAAACCAGTGTGTGTGTCAATTTTTGGTAAATAAAGAAACTATAAAAGGCAGGAAAGATTAGATGTAGTGACAATTAATTGATGAAATAGTGACAGCAGTCAAATACACACACGCGGAATAATGAATAAAACGTGGGAAACGACTAAGCTTCCTTTTTTTTTTTTTCTAAGGAACGAGCACTGATACATTCTAAAATACTAACAATTGGAGACTTCTCAGTTCTATTCACTGACCAATATTTTTATTAGAGTTGAAGCTGCTCGCAACATCTATTTGAACTACTTTGGGATTTCCTTCGTTCCATCTTATTTCATCATTCAAAAATCTTTCGGATAAAATTTCGTCTGAACTTGTAGAGAGTCGATGAGATGAATCTAATGAAGTAAAAGGAGATTATTAACACAAGTGAATGAATTATTACATCTCATCTGTTGCTTCAAGTCATCATTCTCAAGTACTCTCGGAGTTTTCAGTACACTACCATCGGGTAAAACGGGTATAGCCTTTGCTTTTCTATAAGTGAAATGAGATGGGAAAGATTTTTGTACTTACTGACCTCCATGGTTTACATTCCCCTGCACTTTTATTCGATTCTTCTGTTGATGGAACAGAGTAGAACGATGGAGACGAAAGCTCACTTGTCTCGTTCATTTTCTTATTCAATTTTTCTTTTGAGTCATTTAGCGAAATCTGAAATGAAGACATCAAATATTCTCTTTTCTGTTCCACAGCAACATTAGTCTCTGCTGTTTTCGAGTAATTTCCTTGGGCAATAGATAACGCTTCCGCCTGTCTATCTTGACAGAATATATCATCCACTATCTGAAACCTCATTACATATGATACACATATGTCTGATATTCTACCTGATTAGCAAAAGAAGATTTTTCGATCGAGCTATCGGATACTTCCACAAAATCAGGAGACAGTGAAACTTCTCGATGAGAAATAGAACCTGTTGAGTTATCCTGGATTTCTCGAGACCTTCTTGAAAACTAAAACGTTAGCAAAATCTATGAAAAGTCCAACCTTGTGCTTGTACGAGATGATTCACGTATATTCGTCAAATCCAGACTGGGTAGCACTGTTTTTAGACTTTCTATAAACGAGAATTTGCTCGAGTGACTAGAAAGCCAAACCTTCAGTATTAGGTTCAGGTTCAGACATCTCAATAAGGCTTTCAATTAGAGGCTCATCTAGTATACGCAAGATCCCATCGTGCTTGCCGTATTCAATGAATTCGTGTAATTGGAGCTAATAAAATGTACAATACATTGTTTAGAGGTATGAATACACCGGAACCTTGATTTCTTCTCGAACCTTATCAATTTCATCAACAAATATAGTCATCGCTTCTTGTTTGCTGGAACCAAGACGGAATAAAAGAAAGTGACGTGTTTGAGTACCTCAGCCATAATTCTTCCAACTTTGCATCAAAGGATTTTTCATTACTGTCATTCAGCAGAAATGTAGTTCCAGTGCTAACAACACGCTTCGAAATAAGTTTGCATACACTTCTGATACTTCGTCTATCCGCAGCCATAAGTTGTTTGTTGTTGTAGAAAAAGAGAGAGAGAGAAAGAGTTCGCTTGGCCAGCAATCAATGAGACAAACAAGGAGTCTGCATTCAAAATAGTAATAAAGAAGAAAGGGTTCCGGTAAAGAAGATGCCCGGCATCACTACAGCGACCGCGACGCGTCACCACTCTCTCTCCATCCTTAGCTCTCCGCCCCAATGCAATTTCGAGAGGTTGTATCAGAAAAATTGTCGGGCAGAGATTCAGAAAAACCTGATTTCTGACAATTTATTAGGAAACACGATGAAAAAAGTTATATCTCATCCCTAAGACAATTAATTCCAATATTAAAGGAAATGGCTTTTGTTTTACCAGCGTACTAATGTTGTGAAAAGACAAGAATATGATCAGATGTTGAGAACATGAAATTTGCTTAAACTTTAATTCAAACAAAACAGACTTATCGTAAGCAGTTTAAGTTTAAAATCTCAGCATTGTACAAACATGCAATTAGTGTGTGAAAAGACGTTAAAATGAGATAATACGAAAAGAAGCTGCTGTATTCAGGAGGCTAGTGAGCGTGAATGGATGAAATGCACAAGAAATGATAAAGTATTGCATATCAATAACTGAAAAGGTGAAAGACAGCTTGAAGAATGAAGTGAAATAATTCGTAAATCAAAAAACATATCAAAAAGAAGTTAAACCATCCTTCAAAGCTCTCAAAAAATCTAAAAAATAATCAATAAAAAACGCATATTAATGAGTTGAAGAACATGCATTCAGGCAATTTCCTACTACTTGCGTTTCCACGCCCAAATGAAATTATAAATTATTTAGAGAACTTACTTTTTCTTCCATTTTACTATCTTTATTTCAACGTTTCATTCATGTTTTATGTCCGTATCTCATCAATTGAAGCCATATTAGAGCGTGGATGAACCGAAAACACCGACACTCGAAGTTGTGGACGAATGCTAATATCTACCGTATACGTAAGTAACGCGTCTGCGACGGACGCGTAATGCGAGCGTTCTGCTTACCAGCGTTTTTCCAAGTCCAGCCGTTCCCCCGGACTTAGCCGATTTTACTCGTTTTCTATACTTTCCCTATAAAACTTAGCGTGTTGTCCCTTTTTTTCTGATTTTTTCTTCAGGAAATAAATTTCTTTCTATTTATTTGCAAATAATGTTATTGTTGTTATTTTAGCTTGTTCTTCTATACCGATTATAGGCTGTTTTGACGCCTTTTACCCCTTTTATATATATAGTTTAAACTTTAATCCTCATGAAATAGCGGGAAAACTTAAAGATAGCTTATTGCTAGTACGTTGCAGGCTTTGATTCATCAAATCAGTCAATTAAATGGCTGAAGTCTCTTCTCCTTACTTGGCTGAGCACAAAACTGAATACTCAACTTGCGATAGGTATGCAATTAGATAAAATAAATAAATTAGTGATCATTTTGAAGTGATTATGGAAGCCAAGAGAATGGAATGGGGATTGATGAAAATTTGAAAACTGAGGTTTTATTACAATGTTTTCAATGTTTGTTTAATAAATCTATTTAGGCTGCATCTGCATACAGTTCTCCCAACAAGCCAAAGGCTCCTTCTAAAGACGTTGGTTGTTTGCAACCTATCAGTCTATGTCAGTTTGTTTAGATAAAAGCCGAAGACTTATCCGATGAAGATGATGTGCCTTTGCACCAGCGTTTCAGTCAAGTATCAAACGACTCTCACAAAAAAAGGAAGAAGGAAGACATTGATGACGATTATAAACCTGAAGTAAGCATCATATTTTACTTTATAATTTTAACTTGCCGTTCCAGAAAAAGGTTTCTAAAAATCAAAAAACACCCAAGATAGAGAGTGACGATGACGTTCCATTAGCTGAGCGTCTGAATAAAAGCAAAGATAAGAAGAAGGACCGAAAAAGAAAGCAGAGTGAGAGTGATGATGATCATGGGAAGCCAAAGGTTTGTCTAAACAGTTCATAGAGTTTGAGTTTTGTTCATATAGAAGAAGAAAGACAGAAAAAAAGAAAAGGAAAAATCCTCTAAAGATAAAAAAGTAAAAGAAGAAGTTTCATCACCTACAAAACGGAAGAAGAAAGAAGAAGAGCTAGAAGATGTTTGGGAATGGTTTGCACTCAATTCGCTTCATATTGTATTCATAATGTTCAGGTGGAAAGAAGAGAAGAAGCCTGCCGGAGTTAAATGGAATACTTTAGTTCATCATGGCCCTCTTTTCGCTCCCGATTATATTACTTTACCTGATCATGTCAAATTCAAGTACGATGGCCATATTGTTAAGCTGTCCAATGACGCAGAAGAGGTAGCAACCTTTTATGCACGGATGCTCGACCATGAGTATACGTCTAAAGATGCTTTTAACAATAACTTCTTTAAAGATTGGAGAAAGGTGAGTAATATGAACAATCAACCACTCAAAATTTATTATTTTAAAGCAAATGACTGCCAAGGAAAGAGAAATGATAACTGATTTGAAAAAGTGTGATTTCCGTCAGATGGAGGCGTATTTCAAAGAGCAAACTGAGATAAGAAAAGCCATGACAAAGGAGGAAAAGCTTAAAATAAAAGTTGGTTGCAATTAAAGAATGTTTTCAAAAGATAGTCCTTCAAGGAGGAGAAAGAAGCTGAGGGTAAGATCTATGGGTTTGCCTATATTGATGGTCATAAGCAAAAAGTTGCAAACTTTCGTATTGAACCTCCAGGTTTGCTCTTTGTTATGAAGTATATTCAAATATATGTCTAGGACTCTTCCGTGGCCGAGGTGGCCATCCAAAAATGGGCATGTTAAAAAAACGTGTCAGACCAGAGGACGTGATTATCAACTGTTCGAAGTGAGTTGACCAAAGTAAATCTATTTCTCAACTGACATAGGGGTGGCGAAATTCCACGTGCGCCTGCTGGTCACAACTGGAAGGAAGTTCGTCATGATAATCAGGTAACTTGGCTGTGCTCCTGGACTGAAAACGTGTTGGGTCAAAACAAATATATCATGCTGAACCCTAGTAGTAAGATTAAGGTATGAATTGCTAGCATGTTCTAACCGATTTTAAAAAATATATACAGGGAGAGAAAGATTATGAGAAATACGAGACCGCAAGACGTTTGAAGTCAAGAATCAAGGTCATTAGAGAGGTTTGAGGTTTATGTTGTGGAAAAATTTTCTATGAATGTTTTAGAACTATACTGCTGATTGGAAGAGCAAGGAAATGCGTATAAGACAAAGAGCAGTAGCTCTTTACTTTATTGATAAGGTCAAATTTCTTAAGTCAACTGTCAATTACGATATATTTTCAGTTAGCCCTTCGTGCTGGTAATGAAAAAGATGTTGATGAAGCTGCTGATACTGTTGGTTGTTGTTCACTACGTTGTGAGCATATAAAACTTCATGAAAAAATTAATGATAAAGAGTATGTGCACCTCAAACTACTGCAAAATTTATGTGTTTAGGTATGTCGTTGAGTTTGATTTTCTTGGTAAAGATTCTATTCGATACTATAACCAAGTTCCTGTTGAGAAAAGAGTTTTCAAGAATCTCCAACTCTTTATGGAGAACAAGGATCCCGGAGATGATCTCTTCGACCGTCTGGATGTATGTGTAGGATGAGTGCAGATAATAATGTTTTTTCATTTATAGACTACAACATTGAATGAGCATCTACGATCTCTAATGCCTGGTCTCACAGTTAAAGTCTTCCGTACCTACAATGCTTCAATCACACTTCAAGAACAATTGAATAAATTAACCAATAGTAAGTTTCTGGTTTTGTTTTTTTTCTAATTGTTACTACTGTAGAAGATGACAACGTTCACCAGAAGATGCTGTCTTACAATAGGGCTAATCGTCAAGTTGCCATTCTATGTAATCACCAGCGTGCAGTACCCAAAACTCACGAGAAGTCCATGGAAAATTTGGAAAACAAGGTTTGGCACTTTCAACTACGCGCTCATGGTTTTCAATTCAGATCAAAGATAAGAAAGCAGAACTCAAGCAAGCTAAGAAAGAACTTGATGGTGCTCGTGGGAAAGATGTCGAAAAACTGAAAAAACGAGTTGACCGTTTGAAAGAACAGCTGAAAAAATTAAAAATCAGTAGAACTGACAAGGTATAATCATTGTTTGATGAATCAGAAACGAAATCAAGCATTCAGGATGAAAATAAACAAATTGCGTTATCTACCTCTAAGTTAAACTATTTGGATCCTCGTATCTCAATTGCTTGGTGCAAGAAATATGATGTACCAATTGAAAAAGTAACGTATAGTTTACTTTGAGCCAAATATATTTTTTTTTCAGGTTTTTAACAAAACACAACGGGAAAAGTTCCGTTGGGCTATTGATATGACTATGTCGAATGATGAAGAGTATATCTTCTAAGGGCTTTCCATCAAAAGACTAGTATGCGCGATTAATTTAGAATGTTATAACTTTTAGAAGTTCAGCAAGTTTCATATTCTATTTTGCTGGTCTGGATTATTCGTCATATCCCAAAAAAAAGTATAAATTCGTAAAAAAGCTTCTTGATCACCTTTTTTTGTTTATTTTGTCCTTTAGTGTCTTGGGATAACTGGTTAGTAGAACGTGGTTCACATTATGTTGCTTTCAAATTCTAGTTATTAATGTTAGTTCTTAATAATCGTCGGGATTTTTTAGTTTTCAGTCATTTCATTGTTTTAAGTTAATAATATGAGATTAGCTTCTACATGTCGTATTCCACTTGGTATATACCCCAACTCGACTTAAAGTTCTTTCTTAAACGTATTGTAACTATAATTATCGTTTTCTATTTTGCACTAAATTCCTTTAATAATAGATATGAACATGCTTTTGTTCCGAGCATTCTTTCTTTTCCACATTGTGATTTTTTAATATGTGAAACAAGATTAAATCTGTGTTGCAACTTGTATACAACATCATTATGAACCCAATAGCGAAGATAAGGGAGAAAAAGAGAGAGAAAAGAATATGCGAACTAGACAGTGAGGGAGAGAGAGCTGGAGCCTGTGTGTGAAGCAGTATATTCACGTGACAGTTTGTTTTCCTGCCTTCTCTCGTCCTCCCTTTTTTCGCTCTTCTAGAAATTTTATTGATTGTGTCTGTCTTTTTAATTATCAAAGTCGATATTTTTCTTTTTTCATGTTATCACAATCGATATTGACAAATATATCGATTTCCGGTAGCATAATTTGAAACCACGTATTTTCAATGATTTTTCAAATTTTGCACGGAAGTTAGCAATTTGATTTGACTGCGTTCTTTTCATGTATAACAGGCTTTTCAATGGCGGTTATTGTAGCCAATCAATAGGATTTTTCGTTGTTTGCTTACTTAGTCTTATTAGCTTTCGCATTCTTTTTTTTTAGATTTTAATGTGAAACAATAAGTGTTGTCATTAGTATTAACTATGGTATCACAAGTACAAAGCATTGAAGGTTTGTTGTGCTTCCTATTTGCTGCAGATTGATCTTCTTCAGATTTGATAACTTCCTTATTGGATTGTTCCACAACGTATCAGTCATCTCCCGTTATACTCCTTGAGGTTTAGCGTCCAGAGTTAACTATTTCTAATTGTTTTCATAGATTGCTGAGTCCTTGAAAACTATAGGGCAACACCAGCCAACAGCCATACTGAATGCTTGTCATAAATATTTTTTACACAATCCAAGGGTTCTTGAAACTTTTTCTCCCAATTATTCAACATTTCTTTTAGCTACCCCCAGGAAACAAAGCATTTGTATTCAAGGTGGTCAATACTGTTGTCGGCGATTCGTTGGTAACCAAAACTCTTGATGAACAACTTGTTCTCCTAATTATCAATTTGGCTACACAGGAAATGACCATGAGCAAGGTTCTATCAAAGATTGTTTGAATTAGAATTATCATGTTCTTCTATAGGAAACCGAAACAGAATTTGCGGATGCTGCCAAGGATGTGCTAGTGACTATAGGAAAATGTGAACTCTTTGTATCACGCGTAATCGAAGCTGTTTTATTGAAGTTCCCTCCCGGAGTTTCAAACAGTCCTCATAAATACGTTGTTCTCTGTTTAGCTGCCATTGCCCAATACAACCGTATGATAGAATAACTAGCTTTTATAAAAAAAACTCTCTTTCCAGCTTCAGGACTTATACCATTCTTAACAGATATTCTTTCTCGAACTGTTCACTTGTTACCGCATATTAAAACGGATCCCTTAAGGTAACGAAGTAGAAAAAAATAGCATGAGCTTATTTCAAGATGTGCTTGGGCGAGAGCTTTGTGCTCTTTCTGTGAAGCAATCAGGGAGCGTCAAACCGAGAGACCAACAGAAGCGGTTGAAGATTTGACTGGTAATTTTTGCTTGCAGAATTCTTAAGTTTACAATCTACTATTTGAGTTGATACAAAGCATGATCTTTCTGTTTCTAACGATTCATTCGATCCTACATCTTATTCTGATCAATCTGGAGTCATTTACGATGTTGTCTTCCAATGGATGTACAGCAAAGATGCAGTGGTAAGATGATGCATCGTAGTTCAGTACCTCCTCTTTTCTCCACGTAGACCAGAGCTGAAGCAGCGGAATGTGTTGGAGAACTATGTTTGGTTATTCCTACTGTGAAAATAATAGAGGATATAAAGAAACTTGTACAAACACTCACTGGCCTATACAAGAAAGCTTATTCCGAACACTTAATGATCACTATAGTATGGCATCGTTTGTTGAAAACTCAATAGTTCGAGCTTTCAGGCACTCTGTAGGTTCCTGGAAGCAACATGTGCTGACGAAAGAATTCCGTTAGAACACTATTTGGAGGATATTCTAAACGCTTTGTTCCCGAACGCCTGTGTGGATCTTGATGATATGAACTTGACTTTGAACGAACAAACTATGAAAAACCATAGCGAAGCTTTACGTTGCTTCCATGTAGCTTGTGAGTTTTATTACTAAGTTTCTGAGAGAATTTTTCTTCAAGCTAGAAGATTCGCTGACAAAATAGTTTATTATCTTCTACATAAAATGCAACATCTCTCCGACCTGCAAAAGCTCGGCGCTATAAACGTTCTGCGCCATCTCTTGAACTATTCAGGTTGCTTCTTACCTTCATATCTTATTTCTTTTCATCTTTAGGACAATATATTGAAGACAAGCGGAGTCTTGTAATGATGGGATTGAAAAAGTTATTAGGAGCTGAACAGAGTGCTAGCATCAAGGTTTGTACAGAATCAATCAGTTGTTTCCTCAAACAATAATACGTTTAGGTCAAGAGAGCTGTAGTACAGCTCTGCATTGCTTTAGCAGATCATGCATATGTTGATGCCGAAGGTGGCGACCACGTAATATCATTCTTAGTACGCAATTTGGTTTTACCTTCCGAGCAAGAAGCTCAAGTGCGTAAGCTCGAGGTAGACGTAGCAGGGTCCAACCAACTTCGAACTCAATGTGCACAAGCTTTACATACTATCACAAGTACTTGTGTATGTGCGAACAAGGTTTTCTTTCTGATTACTATTTCAATCAGTCAACATTTTTTCTAGCTGCTGTGGCCGTATTTGTTAGAATTTGTCTGTTCAGATCGTTACTCCCCTGTTATTGGAGATATTTTCAAATGTCTTCGCATCCTGATTACTAGGGAAATAGAAGAGGGACGTGAGGTCGACTATATAACGGGTTTTGACAATCGTTAGTTTTATAAAAGCAGCTCAAGTAATTTCTTTTTATTTAAAGCAAAAATCGCTGGGAAGTATGCAGTATTGGCAAGACTAATAGTTTGCATGTGCAATGCTCCTGCGAATGGGTTGATTACCAGAAGAGCAAGGTTCCTGTCTCGTAAAAAATCAACCGTTTTAATTTTAATTGCAGAGAGTCTCTGAACCTTCTCCGCACTATCGCCCCATGGCTTCATCCAGCGGTCGTGGAAACTATTGAGAGTTATACAGAAAGAATGGAGCCGCTGTTAGATGGTAAAAGCAAAAATTATGCAAATAAATGAATTAATGTTTGAGAGCTAAGTAATGTAACTGTTTCATCACCAACGTCAGAATTCTCGCCCGCGGTTGAATTGAGAGGAAGACGAATCTCGAGGTATCTCGAATTGTTTTATTGAAAGAAATCAAATGTTCAGATGGCACGATATTGTTCTGGAAATGTTATGTGCTTGTCTGTCTTCGGTTTCAGATGGAAATTGGAGAGCGGAAGTTACATCAGCTTTCGCGAAGCAGTTGGATTTATATAAAGAATCACCGGACGAAAAAGTTAGCCGTGTAGTATTTGTATGCTGATTATAGCTTTTCAGGCTTTCCTTCTCCGATGTATTGGAACGTCACTGTCTAAGATAGCTTCCAAGCCATTCGTGATCGACCATTTTCTCATGATGTTCAAGTACGAAACAGTATAGCTAAACAAAGCAAAGTATATTTCTGCTCAGATCCACTCAACATAATAACGCAACAGAACGGCAAGGATGTGCACGAGGAGTCGGGGCATGTGCTTCAGTACACATTGAGACTATTCTAGTTGAACTGGAAAATGTTGCTAAATGGGAACATGTTAAAAGAAGTAGTGGCTTCTTTGGATTCATTAAAGTACTTTTCATACTTTATGATCGAAAAACTTTTTTCTCAGGACGCAATGCCCATGCGGCAGTACTCTGATATCGAAATGGTATACCTTAGAGCGACTATAATGCTTAGTTATGGGCATGTAGTGATGGCATGTCCAATTGACACTGTTACTCAAAGGCTTCAAAATACTATAATCGCATTTCTCCGACAATATTTTGCCAATTCGAAGGTTTCACTTGTCATTTATTCACCTGGATACCTTATGATTTTAGCAAGAAACCGTTGTGAGAGAAGCTATGTTAGAAACGATGAGATTAATAGCTATGGCCGTTAACCCTGCAAGGCTGGGAGTTGAGTATAAACTGGATTGCAGAAACGAACTTTTGGAATATATTCGAGTGAGAGAAACCCTCTAATATGTCCACTCTTTTTTTTTTGAGGATTATGTTCAAAGTGAAAATGCTGAAGTGCTATCCAGTTCGTTGAGATTGCTGGCTTCCAAAGCTTTCGCTGCTCTCGTGTATGTGTAGAGAGTAATCATGTTCATCACCTTTCATTGACAGGAGGCTCCAACCAGCGCTCTCAGATGATGACATGTTCGATTTTGGACAAATTTTAACACAATATATTTTACCGATGCATCGTGAAAAAAGTGGTTTGAAAACGGTATGTATTCGCTCCCGCTTCAAAGAAAATGCTGAGAAGCAGTATTGTTAATATTACAACTCTTTGCTAACAAGTCGCACCTTTAGTTAGCTTTTGATTTGTTCGATTATGCTACTTCATCCTTCTCTGTTTTGTCTTCGGATAACAGCAGTTCACATTATCCCAGAAAGGTACTCATTATGCTTTCACAAAATAATCACTTAACCATTTAACTTCAATGAAAAACTGTCAGCTTCATATTTCAACCACTTTTTTAATAGATCGAAGACGATGAATCTGCAACTATTATGGATGCAACCGTTAGCCACTATGGGTCAGCGTTAGAAGCCATGGTGTACATGAAGCCCACCGTTAACACAGTCACTATTCTGCTGAAGGTTCGCTATTCTCTAATGGTCCGTTCAAAGAAGTTATTCTCAGCTTCTTCATCCATTCTATGGTAAATCTGCTGAGCATGAAAGGTCTCGAGCAATCGATACCACAGTTCTTATTCTAAGAGTGTATTATGAATATGCAGAAGACATCGTTCTTGGGGTATCATTCCAACAATTTTGAATGGTACAGTATTTTTCAGCATGCTAATGATTTCACACCTTTATCTTCGCTCCTAGCTCGTTTGACTCCCAGAATCGCTGACAGCCTCTCTCAAATCAGGCATCAAAGCTTACGCGCTATTCATTGGTCTCTTCGATTGGCTCATGTTCATAAGGTGACTCCAATTCTTATTGTTTTCACTCTCATGTTCAGGGACACGGCAGGGATACAAATGGCTCAGCTTTCGATATCGATGAGTTCATAAGATTGCATTTGATGGAAGAAGGTAAACTTGATGGTCAAACTGCCAAGAGAGCAATCAAGTCGATATCAGAGGTTTTTTGATAAATTTGAAGCTTTGTTTTGACAATTTCTTTTGGAGATAATTGATGCACGTTTACCACAGTCCCAAATGCAGTTATATATAACGAGGCTTATCAAGATGCTGACTGACCGTCAAAGTCATGTTAGCTCATCAGCTGCCCAACTTCTCACATATTCACTGCAAGCACGTGGAGATTTATTGATCAACGAGGTCTACCCTTTTCTGAACTATAGATATGATGTTTATGTTTCCAGGGAGAAACACTCGTAACAACCCTCATGGAACGCTTACCTGATATTCACAAATGTGTTCAGACATATACGGATGTAATGGCCGCACTCGTTGCTTTCGCTGCACATCAACTGCATACTGTTTGCGACGCATTGCTGCAACAACCCCTTCCTTTAGCATTGTGAATAACTTACTTTTATTTTAATTGTGTATTACTCTCTAGATACACATGTGATGCCTGGGGATGCCTTTCAAGAGATCGAACTTTATTCCCTTCTATTATTGATCATTTATTAGAACTCTTAACATCTTCATTCGACAGTCCTTATGAAGTGTTAGACACTGGTGGAGGAAATTCGGTGAAAGTGGTTAAAATTGAACCATGTCAATACGTTTCAGCTCTAGCTGAAGTTGTCAAGGTACGCATGATGACCACTTGATTTTTTTAAGAACCAAGGATTAAGAATGGAGAACCTGAATGGACTTTAAATGAAAGGGTCCCGAACTTGCTCAGTGCGCTTCTACATCATGTTTGCTGTGTAGCCGACACCCAATTTCCTCTTGTTAAAGAGAGTAAAGATGGTTGAATCAGTTTTATGTTGTTTGAACCACTTTTTTTTTAGGAACTGGTAAACCCGCAATCATCACGAATGAACTGAGAAAAGCGGTTGAAAAGCCTGTGGGATTGCCTCTCAATGCCATCAAAAGAATATTGTATAGGTGAGGATTTGATGTTTTCCACGCAGGAAGTAATGTTCTTTAGGTTGAGCGTAACAAACGTAGTTGAAGACATGAATCAAGCTAGAGGGTGGACCGAGTGTTTAGACCGAGAGCAGTTTATTAGCTCTGTATGTATATGAGTAACGAGTTTCATAGTGTTTTACAAATTTCAGCTTTCACAACTTGTTCGTTCTATTGCCGAACACCGACCAGATTGGATTGAACAGTTATGGATTTGTCTGGCTGAAAAGGCTGAGAGCGAGCATGAGCCTATAAGACTTGCTGCTGTTGTGGCAGCCTCTGCTCTGATCAAGAAGTGATTGAATTTCCAAAATAATACTCAATTCGTACATATACTTCAGTTGCCCGGACTCACAGGGAGAGTTCAACGAAAAGTTGTTAGTGGAATGCATAAGATTACTGCAGAATGAATTAACGGACCAAAGTTTGAGAGTTCGCAAAGTAGATTTTTTTCTCTATGATTTTCCAATCTTGTATTGTTTTGATTTAGCTATGTTTACGCGGTTTGGGAGAAATTGCCGAGTGTTCATCAGAGACAGTAACTAAACGTTTTGCCAGCATGGCAGTTGAAGCAGCTATGGCTGGCCTAGATGATATCGGGGATCGGCAAGATACTGTATGATTTTCTACAATTTTTTGAAGATTCTTATTAACGAGGTATTCAAAGGTTGCAATGGAATCCATTTTGGCTCTGAGCAAGTTAGTTTCTCGAACTAGTGATCAACAGCTTACTAGCATTCTACCTTTTGTCTTGTTGAAAATTAGGCCATGTTTTGAAAAGGTTCGAAAAACAAAATACTATACTTCATCTGCTTCTTTTTCAGGAGTCTGCTGATTTGAGAGCGGCTTGTTTCAGTCTTTTTGGAGAACTTGGAAGTCGTGTGGGGGACGGCTCAAATGACTTCCTTTCGCATCTACAGACCAACATTATCAGTATTCTCCTTCATGTAAATGATGAGAACGATGAAGTGAAGAAGGTTTTCTCGGCAGTGTTATGAATTATCTTTTTTACGCGTGTTCCAGATGTGCACATCCGCTCTTTATCGAGTTTATCACCTAATGAATGTTAGTGCTCTATCTGCGCTTGTTGAACATGAAACTCCAGACGGACGATTACCATCATCGTATATTTCTTTCATTCAGCACTTTGCCGCGGTTCTCGTAAGGATCATCCTGAGGAATGAACAGATTGATTCATTTCAGACATCTTCCTTCCCGGATCGTGTAAATCAGTATGCTTTGACTTGTAGCATTTATTTCAAAAGCTCGTGCGTTAAAATTCGCTCTAACGCGGCAGCTCTGATCGGGTGCTTATTGAGTGATTTGTCTCCCCAGTTAAGAGCAACAATAAGCAAAGATTTGATTTTCTCAGGTTTTTATGAATACAGTCTGCCCATTTGACGAATCTTTGTTTCAGGCCTTGTTTTACTACTGAAAGATGAAGATTTGACCGTGCGTTTGTCAGCTACAAAGTCTATTGCTAGTTTGCACTCGTTTTCATGAGTCTTAGAGAAACATTGAAAATGCTTAAGTTATTTAATTTCACTTTTTCATATCTGTGATAATGTTGCCCTTTTGGGCAAGTTATGTACATTCGTGTTCACATCAATTTCACGGGAATTTTCGGATAATACTAAGCCCTTGAGTAAATGTGGTTAAGCATATCCTGTGCAGTGCGTTTTGGATCTAGTCTGAAGTTTTCATTTTAAAAGAAATACATATATACAGATCGTTTAAATAAATTTAATATTTTTATCATTTTAATAAAGAATTTAGATTGTAGTCAGTTTTAAAATAATAGAAACGTAGCAGCTCATACTGATTTCTTATCAGTATGAGCTTCCTGGGAAGCAGATAGTTATGATTCTTATTGATTGCTCTCATTTCATAATTCTGAGCTGTTAGTCCACTCTACTTTTCTCCTGTATAAATTTGATACTATTCGACGCGATGCTCACTATACTAAGCCTTTTTTATATATTCGGTTCTCTGGCTGCTGTAACTGATGAGTCATGTCATTCTCACTGTTACGAGGTTCACTGAGCGTCTGTTTCAACGAAGCGTTTTGTCTATTATAGGGGAAAATGCCAACATGCGGCACATGGCTCATAAGTGAAAACAACTCTGGTATAGCAGGAGCGTACGAGGTTTCCAATTCATTTTCGTTTCGTGTGTTTCAAATATTATATATGATATAGCTTAATAAAGGAATAGTAAACATGACATGCGAATTTTCCTCATTGCCCGAACCAGCTATCGTCTCTTGGGTGCATAAAGCTGTTAATACAAATAGCTGGAAAACTTTCCCATGTTCGACAAAAAACGAAGAAAAAATTTGCGGGTAAATCAGTTTTGATATACTGAGTGAGAAGGGTTTGAGGGTTCACGAAACTCATGTGAGAGAAAGTATGCTTCATCACGATATGCTAGTTTAGTACGTGGGCGTTTTATATGAACAATTTTTCTTTCTTCACATTAGATGCTGCTTACAGGAGCTCTGAACACAGAGTAATATCGCGATGTGTTTTACGTGCAACCGATCTCAATATGTCTGGTAGTTATCGTTGTCAGGCATCCAACAATAACCCAATAGTTACTGAAAATCATAAAGCATATGGGTTAGAAACATACAATATTTCTAATTCTAAACATAATTTTTTAGATCTGAGTTTGACATAAGTGTTGTAGGGATATCAAGCGTAAAAGTTATCAACTATACTCTAAAACAGAAACAACTAGGAAATATTATCATTGAGGTATGACTTCAAATGCAGAATAAAAAAACAATTTTTTTAAATAGGTTTGTGCCAACCCAAAGCCTGAAGTGTACTGGCTATCTTCTGAAAGTATCGTGACTTCTCATACCGGGACAGACAGGCTTATTGTTGCTCACTTACATCACCAAAAAGTTTTCCACAAAACTGGTTCTCAAAATTATAGCGTTGATTAAGACCCGATTAGATGCGAGTGGTCCAGCTTCTGTAGTACCTTATTGCTATTTGAGCGAATTATACATACGGAACGTGGAGCCAGACGATCAAGACATAAAAGTATTAGTAAAGACTGAAAATTCCATGGAAATTCGTCACTTATCTTTACGAGTTTCCGGCAGCTCAAAGTTCGGTTTTGGTTCAATTTTTCAAATCTTAGGTTTATTAATGTTAATAATGATTTAAAGAAATAGTTTTCATTATAAGAAGTTAATTATTTAATTTTTCTTCATAGCAGAGTAATAGTGAATGAGTAAGGGATTTTTACTGGGTTCAGTAATATTTGCGCATCTGTTTTCTAACATTTTCCCTCCGAATCGTTTACTACATTGAGAACGTGGCATCCACGAAGAAATTGTCCGGTAATTATTATACTTTGTAGTTTTCAATCTATTGAACACCAAATCTTCGCACATATCACAAATGGAATCAGACATCCGATAATCGTTACGGTAAAGTTTTGACCAATTGAAATATCTGTTGCAACAGTATGATTGTTTTTTCGAAGTGAAATCAACCTTTTGTATTCCTTCTTGTTTGCCATTAACCAGTTCAAGTATTTTCCTAATTCTTCCAAAGAACAAAAGTCATCCACAGCTATGAAGGCATCGTCCGGAACCATTCCTGATACGATTTCTCGTTTGAACGTTATTGGAACTATGAACAGTTGGGAAATTATAACTAAGATAGACTGCATACCAATTAATCGCTTAAAACGATAAAATTTTTCTGTAATGTAGTCTGTGCACACAGAATTTTCCAATGCGAGATAGAAGTGAGTGGTATCTTGAAAAAAAATGGAAGCTATTGTATATCTGATGATCCTACCGACAACTTCTTGCTCACAATCAAAGTCACAAGGACTTGCTCCGTCACACTTGCCAAAACTAAAATATACTTTTCAGAAAATTATGATAAACTATAGGTGATTTTTTACATTGATACTTCATGATATTGGTTAAGTTGACGAACTATTTGATCTCTCTTTGATCCAGCATTACAATGAGAAGCCAAAAAAAAAGATCCATGTGTTTTTCTGGAGATTGCTTCATCAACTTCAGAATCGGTCCAGTGAGGGTCTTCAGAACTCTCTATCGGATCCATTGTAAAATATCTTTCCCAATAATTAGCTCGCCGATGATAAGTCATTGTTACATCAAAAAATTTCATCGGAACCTGAAAGCTTTGCTAGATTTAAACAAGTTGAAGACATTGAGATGCCTGATGCCAATGACGATAGAAGCCCTTCCATTCCCGACCTGGAGATTCTCTCATGAAGAATACAATTTTTTGATGTTTTTTTTTTGGAGGCAAGGAGTGTAAAGTTCCTCCATGGATTATAAGAACATCAGCCAAGCTGGCATTTCTGAAATTGAACTAATGGAAAAGCTATACAAGGACTGGCTCGAAACCTGCGGTCATCAGAATAATCACATCTATATTCACACAACTTCAAACGGTCAAACATCCACGATAGTGGTCTTTTATGAAATTTATTCCATCCTACTATCAGAGGAACTTTGCCAATGATTTTCTTGAAAACTCTATTTAAAAACTTTAAAAGCAAAAAAACTAACCAGAGCTCCCCGAGGTCCATTATTTTTTGGTTTGCTCATGTCAAATTTATGAAAAGTTGTTGTAGCTTCGAGACCAGCGATCGTATACTGTAAAAATGATCTGCTCGTAGGATTAAGTATATTATACAACCTCCGATTCGATATCATTTGAAAAACCATAGGAGTTGTCAATCAGCTGAAAACTTCTAATATAACATGATCTTAAGAAAGTTAGAAAAGCTTACAAATTCCTAAACAAGAGGTAATATGAAATTTAAATGAGGATAATTTAAACTAACCAAGAGAGGATTATATAAAGTACATGATATGAATCCAGATATACCAAATATTATTAAGAATAATATGGGACCTGACACTGTGAAATGTTTTTACTAGTACAGCACTAAAATTATTACCTGTGAAGCGCATACAGGTAACACGTTGGAATAAGGTCCACGCACGATTTCTCATTTCTTACCGAGTTAAGTCATCAAGTAAATAAAATTATAATGATTTTATATATTGTATAATGTGTTATAGAAAGGCAGCGTATATGCGGGAGGGTTTTCCACACCAGAAGAGGGAAAGAAAGGATAAGAGAAAAAGGGAGAAACACGTGTTAATGAGAAAGAGGATGTTGATACAACTGTTGGAATGGTGAACCACGTGGAATGATTGCTAGATTGCAATTATCACTATTATCATTATGATTCATATAAAGAAGTTCTTGGAAAGCTTTCATTTCTGATCATTTACTCTTTTTTACGTCACGTAAAGCATTAATGATCAAGTTGATCTGCAGAAATCTCGGAAAACGTTAGAAGTTGAATATGGTAGACTTTCCGTTGTTTTTTTGTGAAATTATTACTAACAAAGTTTCCGAGCATAGTTAAGAGAGCAACGTTTATTTCTCTCCAAACAGAGAAAGCTGTTCAAAGCTATGTAGAAATCGAATGACTAAAAAATCATATGTCTAAGGTGTTCATCTTTTGTCACTAGATCAATCACATAACTACTTATCACAAGAATTATTTATTCAAACTCATTCCATTACTGAACGTTTTCGATAACTTCTCTTCCTTAGGTTCATATTGATCTTTCAACTGTAAATTGAATAGTTTAGAAGTTCATAAATTCGTTATGCAGCTCACCTTGCATAACTCTTCCTTCAATTCTTTTTCACGGTTTGCTGATTTCTCCGTCAAAGATTTTATCTGGATAATAATACATTAATATACTTTCCAGAGTGTTTTACCTGCTCTTTGTGTTGCTTACTTAGTTGCTCCAACCTCTTTATTGTCTCTTGGCTCGTTGCCAACAATCTCTCCAAATTACTAAATGATCCATTGAATAATCCTTCAATCAAGAACTTACGCGTTTTTCTGTAACTGGGCTGCTCTCTCTAATTCATCTTTTTCTGCGGAGCTTTCGTTTCGTCGTCTGTCATCATCGTATTCAAGCTGATAATCATAACCATGTTATTAAATGTTCAAGTGTCCTACTACGTCTCTCCTCAGTTGATCCATTGTTATCTCCCGTAGCGTATTTTTAGTGTCTTCCAATTCTGACTCTAATACAATTTTTTCAGGAACAATTTTGTCCAACTTTGCCTGAAACAAGATGTTTCGAGTATTTGATGATAAGAACAACCTTAGTTTCCACAAATAATTTTTTATAAGATGACCCTTCTTCACGAGCTTCATCTCTCTCTTCTTTCACAACAAGCCATTTCTCTCTCCATTCAGCAGTACAATCTTTCCACCATCTCATAATTTTTTCCATTTGGGCAGCTCTATCTCTAGCCTATGAATCGTACAGATTTGGAGGGAACTTTTGTAGAAAGAACTTCGTGCATTTCTTGTATTCGAATTGCTTCACATCGATCCCAATCGGTATGCTGGCATCTTGTGCCACTGGCTGAACGGTTTGCGAATAGCAGGTAAAGACTAGAATCTTAAAAACATACAAATAGCCCATTAAATCAATAAAACAGATTCAAACGCACCATTATTATCAGGATATCGATTTATTGCGGATGGATCTTCATCATCATCCATAGTAAAGGTGTACTAAGATAAAGCGGAGACTCAAATGCCAGAAGCGCCATTACAACAAATGCAAAGAATCAGCTGTTAGTTAGCTAACTTTCAATGAAAAAAAGAAAGTTATTAAAACGAATTTCAGAGAAGTATGAGAAGTACGATCGATATTTACATGAAGGATGTGAAAAAAGAATATAGAACCATTTGTGGCACATGGTTGGAATTATCCACGTGAAATCTACGTGGAACCCGTAAGAGTGTTAAAATCTCTTTCTCCAGAGAACAAAGAGAGTATTCATGTTTTATTTTAAGCACTATTTCATAATTAGCCATGAGGAATATATAAATGTTTACTCTATGAATTTGCTTATTGTAACCATACGTACATAAGTGAGTTATAGGATTACAGTAATCTTGATTAGATTGGAGCACAACAATAGCTAAATATGGTTAGATTCTTGGAAAAATTAAAAATTGAGTTTTCATCTTAGTCACAAAGACAATTTAGTAGCCGAATTACGGTATTGAATGGGAATAATTCCTAAGTGATTTAAACAGATTTTTTGTGGAAATTGACTTAAGAATTAGTTAAAAAATGGGAGATTATTCCCCACAGAGAAAAGTAGAACGAACGACCTTTGAAATTTTTTTTTCTGTTGTGTTCCTTACAAGATTTGATACGAGAACACAAAACTATCGAAATAATCTAATAATAGCAATAATTATAAGACAGCTGTATAAATATGTAAATAAAAAAGGTATTGTTTCTTTAAATGACAAAATATCATTCATTCTTTCTACAGATAGCCTCAGGCAAATAGCTTATTGACCATTCGTTTATCACTGGAATCTCTTCGCTCTCATGTGCTTTACTACTTATCTCTACATATCCTTTCTATTTATCATATAGTTCGTTAAATCAACTTGGCTTCAATTTATTTTCAGCCTCATCCCATGTTTCCACAAATGTATGATCCATTCTTTCCATTCTCATCTCCTTCGGCTCTATTTTTTGTTACTTGCTTTCCTCTCGAATAATAAAAAATCATATTTTAAAATTATCTGTATGAATTTCCTTCTTCTCTTTTCCGTTTCGTGATCGACTGCGTGACTTGGAAGGCGTTTGTGTGCTCTTCTAGGCGCCCCCAGCATCTTCTTTCTAAAACTTTTCTCTCGTTCCCTTCAAGTCTTTCCCTTCCCCTTCTTCACTTTTCCTTATTTCCCTCTATATTTCCTTGGATGTTACTCATAAATTTTGTTGATTTCAAAACTATTCGTTTTAATTCTTATGTGTTCAGAATACACGTTGCTCCCGTAAACGTCGAGTTCCCCTATTGTTTTCATTTCCCTAACACGAAAAGTTGAACGGTTGCAGTCAAAACAGCTGAAGTGGTACAGTGAGTTTATAGATGTTGTTTAATTTTTTTGAAAAATTCAACTCTTCTTCTAGTTGGTTTTCCTATGTTAATTACATTTTGAAAGAATGATTCTGTGGTTTTCTCAGAAAAAATTTTAATTTTTGGAAAATGATCTGATGTTGCTTTGATTTGAATGATATGTGGTCAACGTGAATAAGTGTCGACAGTCATTTAAAAGAAAAAAGATGGACAGTTATAAAAGAGAAAACATGTGAAAAAGAGAGATGATGAGAGGGGAAAGAGAAAGTTAAAGGAAAGAGCAAGACGTGATTTGTCGATGTGGAGAGAAGAGCATAAATCGCTCACGATCATCTTAGGTTAAGCAGCCAGTTCAGACGGCTTAATGTTTACTTTCTAATTTGTTTTGAATCGATAGTCCGAGGGAAGAGAAAAAAGTATATGAAACATGATTACTTTTCAAAAGAATTGCAATAACTTAACAATCTTCTGATCAAAGTTTTCTGTAGTACATCGACTCAGAAACATTTATGATCAAGAGAAAAAAAAATTTTTGTTTGTTTATTGACAGTATGTGTGCTATTGTTGCTGATTTTTCTATCAAAAACGTAAAAGTATTGGCTATAAATGTTAGACTCTTCTTGGTTGACAACCTTGTTTCCTATTAACTAGTATGCATCTTCTTCTTGATAGACTATTAGGTATATTTCTTTCCTCAAATTCTCAAACATTCATCCATCCGTCTATTAACCTTCTGATGAGGACAACCACCAAATTCGGAAACTCATTGCCATTTCTAACATGATTTAATCACATTTTACATTTTTAATTTGCTCTCCAATAGCCGCAAAAAACCTGTTGACGAGTAAGAAAGTTTGAATTTTCTTTTGTACATCATCTCATAATAAGCTGGAATTGATGATTCGTGAGGCCACACAAGTCATTGAGATTCAGATGAATTTTCATCATTGGTGGTGAATGATATTTTACCTATTCTTTTTCTTTTTTCTTCTTTATAGTTTCTTAAATATGTGAAGAAAAGTTTTTCCTTGTTGCCCACTGGCGAACAACTTTATTTGAGATTAGAAAATGTGTTTTTGGGCTGAGAAATAAGAAAAGATTGAAGAAGTTCAAGAAGATGAAGGAAAAGAACCATTCTCTCCATATGTATTCCGTTTCCGAAAATGATATATTCCCTTAGCTGTCAATCAATCTACCTCCATCTTCAGTTTATCCTTTGCGTCCTCTTCATCTTCTCCTTACCACCATCGTCGACTTCATCATCGACATCATCATCGTTCTTCTCAACAATTTTTAACAATTCTTCTAAAATTTCTCTCTGTCTCTCCAATCTCACAATCTCTTATTACCTTTAAAACCATTCAGCAATTCATTTTATCTTGTGCAATATACTCGTCTCATTAATTCTTATTTCGGTATGTTTCAACCTCGCTACCCTTCAGATCTTCCGCTTTTTAATCGTATTCATTTAGAATTTATTATCTTTTACTATATTTATCTAACTCACAAATAATTTCAACAAATTCCATTTTTTCCTCTTTCTCTGCTCATTTTCATCTCTGCAAACCATTAAGAATTACTTGAATTTCATGATTTACAATTGTCATTTATGGCACAAATTACTGTAATTCATCTATTTTATGCAAAGAAAAACTTAATCCTCTTATTTCCATTTCAATGTCCTCATAGACTTTGTACAGAAAAAAAACATTTTTTTAAACATTTCTCTGCCACCTGCTTGAGGTCAGAAATATACAATAGAGAGTTTGTTCTTCCGGTTGGAATGTCTCAAAAAAGTGAACTTTTGTTACTATATCCCTGTTCTTTTATTAACTTCATATATCATGCAAAAAAATGTTTTGTTATATGAGAGAAGAATGAATGCACATTAGGATCCCCCAATGACTTGCTTAGCTAATAAACCATTGGCTTACCCATTTTCTTTATCCTTCTTCTCCAAGTTTGTTCAAAGGCGTTACTCTCTTTAGCCATAAACAGTTAGATTTTATCAGTAATATGTTAATTAAAATTGAAAAAGATAAAAGAATACTAAAGTCTGTGGGATGCCAATTAACATATGTCTTTATGCGGGAATATGTCTTTCAAAAACCACATCTGGAGAGATACCATAGCATGCTGTGTGTCATATCTTTGATGCTGATAAGAATCTTTTTGTAAATAAAAGAATAACTTTTTGCTGCAAATTATGTAAACTTTTGTGTAGCTTAATTTTTTCCAAGTATTTTTCCTTTCCTCTTTCTTGCCACGAAATTCGGTTACTGGGAGTCTCAACGAGCTACCGTAATCTCGAAAGTCATTCTTTACTTTTCGTAATTTATCTAGTCATCTCATAATTCAAGTTACATACGGTATTTCAATTATTAACCAAATGTGGAGCAAAGAGAGGAAAATGAGATACTTTTGAGATTATGAAAGATGTGCCCTGAAAGAGTAAAGGAGGTATGGAGAGAGTGTGTGGAAGAGTAATGGACTTCGAACGAACAAGGGAAGGCCTCTGGCGTTCGTAAAAATTCCCATTTAGGAAGTAAATTGCTTGGAAGAATCTGAATGATTTACAAATTTTTAACAGTAACTTGACCAATTCAAAATGTTTAAGATGAGATGGCTGGTGGGAGGGGTAAACATGAAACACACAACCGATTTAGCCGTTTTGCAAACTAGAAATGAAAACATTCTTCATTCGCGTGTTATTAGAGTTTTTTAGTTTCACTTCCTATTCATACCTCTTACAGAACTTGTGAATAGTAGTTAAACAAGATTAAAACGAGAAAGATTGATGAGATACCTTATAAGTCTAACAGACGGTGACCATATATGGACAGTTTGATGATATCTTCTGATGAAATTAATACCTCTAATTGGCTATTTTTGGATGTTCTAGCATTTCCTGGAGACATCATCTGGTTAACGTGAGAAGCATGACGTCATCATTGCGTCAGCAGATGTTACGATTTCTTGACTTTCATCAATCAGCTGTTTTTACTCACATTTCCTTTAGAAGACAGCCAAAGTAAAAAATTAAAAAATGCTTTATTATACTTTTTTTTATCTTATCTTTCATAAGATTTCCTTTTGAAAATCTATATACCAAAGCAGGCAAAAAGTTTTTCCTCATAGGCAGCTGATTATTCAGGCTTATCGTATTCATATGGAACTGTGGCTTTTGATAAGCTGTATGTTTCAGAAAGAAACTAAAAATTGTTTGCAACTTGTTTGCGATCATCTAATTTCTTGTAACCGTAACGCGGTTTGATCTCGCTCTGTATTTCACATTTTGTCTCTTTTTCTTGGTTCTCTTGTGTTTTTTTTCTTCTCAACTTGGACATACATATGTTCTAGTTGTTGACAAGTTTTAGATTAGTGATCTCGTAGGATATACATATAAATGATGAGGAGGAGTACTTATGTAACTTCAAAAGATGACTTTTTATCTTTTTACTTTCTTATTCTCTTTTATTTCTAGTCTTTATTTGTACGGACAGCTGATAAGACTTTTTGACGGTTAGATCATGGCTACTATACGATTTGCCAAGAAATATTTGATCTCATTTCGATTCGTTTCTTTTTCTGTACATGATAACTTACCTTATTTCTAAT